TCTGGTGCCGTCTCTGGATGCCCGAGGAATAAATAGAAACTGATTTCGTAACACTTGCTTTCTTCACGGGAATAAAGTCTGAACTAGAGGGCCTGCTGAGGTGCAGACCCAACAGCTAGTTACAAAGTTTTTCAGTTTAAGACTATTTTTCTTGCATAATAATAGCTATTAACTACTGACTAAAGCGTACAATATGCATATTTCAGTGTGTGAGTGATTCAGCGGTTTAGTAGACAGTCAACAGTGACTCCAGAAACATAAGTCTCATAAATATAAAGAGGACTCTAAATAAGTGACCGTACCCTATTATTAAAATTAAAAGTTGTAATTATTTGTTTCGTGGGGTCCTCTCCTAAACTTCTCCTGAAAAAATGCAGGCATCGTCAGGAAACGTTCAGTGTGTATACTTTATTCTGCTGGCCTCCCAGATGCATTATTTACAAAGAAAATAAACAACTAACTTATTCATCACTAAACAAAAATCTGTGTGCAGAACGCAAGAGGCTGAGCCAGCTTACATGTTAACCTCACTGTAACATCTCACTGACTGCCTCGGTAGGCCCTAGTGGCCTGCCTTTATATCCCATTGCCCCTCCCACTGGGCATAACAGTCATCCCTCCATCATTTTTTTCACAAAACAATCTTTTTTCCTCGGCTTATTTCCAGCTGTATTTCTACAATAATTCACAAATACATTTATAGCCACTTTCAGGCAGCCTACAGCATTTCATAATAAAAGAAAACCCAAACAAAAAATAATGCAGTTCATGTAACTCTACAAGTGTGCGCGAACCCACGATTTAAACCCCAGAACAGACCCCCAGACGTACCATCGTCTTGCCCAACTACTCGTGTAACTGACGATCACGGGGAGTCTACACAACCGGCTTTTTATTAAAGGTAAGTGGCAAAATATGTTGGCCGCAGCCACATTAACCCAGTGCGACGAGTGTAGAATCTAATGGTTGTTGTGTGTGTGTATGCACCCAGGTCAGCTGTCTGGGGCCCAGGGCGATGTAACTCCGTCACAATTTGTATGCAATTTATAACACGTAAATGTTCAAATCCATCAAAATATTGGGGGAAGAGAAAATGTATCCTGGCATATATCAGTACTTTAGGTACAGATATTTAATAGACACAGAGAAAGTTAAACTGTCCTCTGAAGACTTAAGGTTATTCACAATCTTATTTACATACAAATCCACCAGTGGATAGTGGAATTAAGATCTGGTGAATTTGGTAGTCAGCTTGGAAAACAGTCAGCCCATGTACAATGATGATGTGCAAACAAGATAAGATGACAGCATGACATTCCGTTCATTCCGAAACAGTCCTGCTAACCTATAAACATAAACATGTGCTTACAATACACCAAAACCAACAGTTTATGATTAGGCATGCTAAGGGGTGTTAACTCAATATTGGTCTCTGGTGACAGAAGATGGTATAGCATTGTGTGTAGAAAACACTCACTTGGCCACTCTAAGCATGTGCAAGTGTGACACCTACAAGTCTATGGTCACAGTTGTAATTGGTTTTAAATATTTAGTGATGTAAAAGGCGTTGTGGTATTGCACTTTTCAGTTAAAGTTATAAGGATGCAATTGGATGGCATCGCCACAAGGAGGAAGTAGCTCTGTACCTCAGATGAGGCAGAGCCTGCAGACCAAACACAACTCATGTTTCCTGTCTCTACTTTTATGTATAAGAACAGGTTAGTAGTTTGAGTTGGCTAACTGTGATGCACAAGGCAAGAAACTTTTTTCTGTCTTAGTTTAAAGGCCACAAATGTCATGAGAAAGTTTGTTTTCATTGAAAGAAACCGAACTCTCCTGCCATTCGCGATGGAAGCCGCAATTCCACTTGTAGTCTAAAGAGGTAGCCGGTCTTATTACACATTTTATTTTGTGGCAAATGTAGCTCCTAGATACACCTCTTCTATCCTGACATTACTGGTATGTTGACAGCTGATAAAGGTGGTTTCAACATAATCTAGTTTTTATTCTTTATGTTGTAATATGTATATAATCTGATGTAACTGTTTTTTGGGCAATTGTGGAATGTTTGTTTATTGTTTACAAATGTAATATATTGTTGAATCTGTTAAGATATAAAGAACTTACAACAGTAATAATGAGCAGGTTAATCGCAGTGTTGAGATTACTGCACAGAGATATTGTTGATGCTGGACAGCAGTAGAATTTAGTTACAGATTTTTTGTAAATAAGGACACTGATATACAACAATTATATTGTAGATTTATACTTGTGAGGAAAACAAGGTGATCAAATGGGTTTAACATGTAAACCAGATTCAAAGTTATGTTTTTTGCTAGAAGAGGAATGTTTATACGAACGGAGAAGAATGGTGTGAAATTCTGTTAATAAAAAGACGAAGAAGAGCCTGCAGACCAAACGCTACTCATGTCTCCTGCCTCTACTTTTCTGTATAAAAACAGACCCCATTGAAGGCCTGTAACACAAACACTAAGCTAAGGGTAACTTGATAACCTACAATACTTAGTCTTGAGTCCCCCCCGACTGCTTTAAATGTTGCGAAGAAACTGGGAAACGGGTGCATCGAATTATTGAAACATGTCCAAACTTAAATAGCGGTGAAGCAGTAACACAGTTGTTTATTGTTCCACTTTCACAAATAAAGAATCACTTTTTTGTGCAAAAATACTATATAATGTATCTCAAACAATATTTTTATGAAATATTCATTTTTGTGAAATAAAATTTAAGAAATTGGAACAAATGATACTGTTTCATGATTGGCTGCTAATAACAAACAGCATAAAATAAAAATTTAAAGGGCACATAAAATGCTACACATTTAGAGCCTAAATTACACCATTGAGCCCAGCTCTCAAAAACTGACATAGATTTAACACTGTCTGTGAAGCTGGATTTAAGAAATAAGTGCTTAAAGTCAAAGTTTTACAAACATATTTAGGTGACATTCTGTCAGCTCAGAAAGGCATCATCATGTGGTTGGAGGGGGGTAATAGTACATTAATTTATGCTAGTTAACTAAAGAAAACTAAAACTAAAGTCAATTTAAGGAGATAAAATTTGGGCTGTCCCTAGCTGCAACAATTAGTTTTATGTTAAGAAACAAAGGTTATACTGTTCACGTTCACTCCCGTTCACTCTGGTCTCGTAAGTTGCTGTTCAATGGCTGCACTCAAACTGAAAAATCCAGCTGTTAGCTGTGATATACTAGCTTTTCTTCCAAACACAACTAAACAGTTTACAACATCACAAGTTATTAAATGCGTATCAGGTGCGGATCTAGAGAAATTTTGGCATGGAAATCAAAAGAGGTGGCAAAATCAAAGCCTTTTTTTTTTTACATATAAGCAGGTGTTACATCCTGTAATGTGCATTACATATGGTTAAAATACATCAAATGCAGTAAGTATACAAGCTTCATATAAGTATAGTCTATAACTTTATTTTCTTTAGCCCAGATAATTAAACATTTCACTAACATAAAATGTGAATTTTTATGTACTATATAGCCTTATAATAATTATAATAAATAAGTATGTAGCCCAATATGTATAAAATCAAGAAATCTACACATCATGAGGTGGTTCATTTACAAATACAAGTCTAACTACAATTTCACACTCTTTTTTTATTTGAAATAAGGCTTCTTCTCAGGGTTAGGTTTCTTCTGCAGCTTTGTGGAAGTGATGTGCGATACCACTGATTTCCTTTCCGATTTACTGATCCAGTGCTGATACTTTGTACAAAATCTTAATGTGTTCTTGTATTTCAAATTATATCTTCATAATGATTACAGGACATCAGACTACTTGTTCTTATTGTTTAATTATGAAGAATTGTCATATAGAAATAAAAAACCTGAAGTTGTCAGTTAGCTATTAGAACACATATATCGTGTCATTTAATATGTATATGCTTGCCTGGACATTTCATCAAAAACATTCAACATTCACACTTTCCCTCATTCATAGTAGTGCTGTGCTACACTACAAATTTTGGTGTCGATCCAATACCAAGAAAATACAGGGCCAGTATTGCAGATGTCCATCTATCCATCTTTTTCTGCTTATCCGGGGTCTTGTCCGGGGGAACACCAAGGCATTCCCAGATTAATGCCCGAACCACCTCAACTGGCTCCTTACGATGTGGAGGAGCAGCAGCGCTTCTCTGAGCCCTTCCCAGATGGCTAAACTTCTCACCCCATCTCTTAGGGAGAGGCCAGCCACCCTTCGAAGGCAGCCCATTTCGCTTGTATGCGCAATCTTTTTCTTTTGATCACTACCCACAGCTCGTGACCGTAGGGGGTAGGGACGTAGATCAATTTTTAGAACATAACTCCCACGATGAATGAGGGAACACTGTATGTGATACTAATTATGAAATATCATTCTTGACTATTTTTGATTTTACCTTGATATTTCACGTTTAGAAATGTTTTTTGTCTTGTCTTGTTTGGTATTCTTATTTTCAGAATACAGTCTCACATATGTCGATTTACAGTTATTTTTTTCACTGACTACTGTATTAATACAACTGATCTGAAATCACTCAAAAAACCTAAAAACCGAATAGGGAAAAAGTGATATATTTTTATGTAAAAACCATAGACATGGTTACTGAATTATTTTCACAACTTGAAATGCAAATATAAAGAAATAAAAACCTATGCACAAATTTTGTAAACAATAAAGTTATACACAACAATTTCCCTAAAAATGCAGCCACTGCATCTGGCAATCACAAACAAAGGCAGCCAGTATATCACTGATGCAGAACGAAAACAGCAGAGCAGTGGGTGCCAACGACCAACTCCCAGACAACAGCCGGTGTCAGCATAGCCCCTCCCAAGAACCCTCAATGTCTATATGTATTTAAAATTTAAAGGTGGGCACAGACAAACAGCCACAGCTCCTATACCCTATACAAAATGTATTTCCGGGAAGAGTTAGTGAAACAAAATAATCAGCTGTCTTATTGTGTCTTGTGATACAACTTACATACTCTTTATTGCACAAGGTAGTAACAATCGATATTGTTGCATCTGTCCATCATCAGCTGTTTATTTTTGTTTTTTTCTTCTGACCAGCTTTCTGCACCACCTTTTCAACATCCTAATAATGATTACCACACAGCTTGTATGTGCAAAAATGAAATACATTCTTTGTAATTAAAAGCGGATTAAGTCTGATTTAAAGAATAATTAGTGGATCAACACTAGGCTGCTTAAAAAGTGTGGAAGGGCAATAGAGAATTTAAGAATATTTTCTTATTACAACTAGTAGTTTTCAGTTTACTTTTAGCTAACTATCATAATCTTGATGCCTACTCAAAAGAAACACTTATCCATCTATCCATCGTCTTCAGCTCTTATGTAGTTGGGTGTAGAGGAGAGGAAGCTCAATGCTATTTCCACTGTCACTGGAAGAAGGTACACCCTAGTCTTAGGACAGACAACTTTTCACACTCACATTAACATCTATGATTTAGAAGCACTAGTAAACCTGAAGACCTTGTCTTTGAATATATAAAAACACACCATGAGAATCAATTTTATAAAAAGAAATCTGATGACTCCTCTAAAGATAAAAACACTGAAGCACAAAATAAATTATGTTAACAATGAATTAAGCTGTACTGTAAACATTGGATTTAAAAAAGAGGAAGGGGAAACAAAGGAAAAAAATTAATGTCCTTTATACAATGTGATTTTCTGTATTTTGTGTAGCTGCTGAATAAGATTATATTCATATGTTCCTGGATGATATCCAGTTCCAAAATTTTGCTCTTTGATTTTTTCAAAGTAATGGCCCCAGTTTCCATTGCTGTCTGCTCCAAACCCAAAGACGCTGACCTGGACAAAAAAAAAAGTAAATACATAAGAAATAAATAATGAAAGTTAAATTTCAATATGTCATATAATTTCAGCTTTGTCACAAGAGCTAACTGAACTAACTACAAAGAACAGAGGCCCCCAACCCCCGACGGCAGCCTCAGACTCGCAGAGCTCAATACCTTTTTGCTCAGTTGGAATCTCACCAACAAACTGGATCACCTGCAGTTTGGTGGTGAGAATGTCTGACATCCTCACAAACCAGCCTCAGTCAGTCCGACTTGACCATTCCCCCCAGGGCTGCATTTTCAGCCCCTGCTGTACAGTTATGATTGTACACCAACCCATCCAAACAACGTCATCATCAAGCATGCCAATGACACCACTTTGGTTGGGCTCATGTGTGTTGGAGATGAGACCGCATACAGGGAGGAGATAGAGAACTTGTCCCACTGGTGTTCAGCAAATCATCTGAAGATGAACGTCCTTAATCCTTTAAGACCTACCATAGAACCAAGTCCACCAGAGCTTATCTTTATAGTTTTACATTCTGTAGTGCCATTTCAAGTTCCTATACATCAGTACAACCGTTATAGCCCAAATATTAATAATATGTATGCATTAAGTCCATAGTAACTACATAAATTGCCAAAAAATGAAATAAACTGCAAAAGAATTGAAAATCTTTTTCCTGCGATAGTTCGCGCTGAGGTCTATTCCAACGTAGGAAGTGTTTTGAACAGCTAATCGGATCGGCAAAGTGTGTTTCTGGAATATTACGTTTTTGTTGCTGCAAATGCTTTTTATGCAATTTTTGCAAAGCTATATGTGGAAGGAAACCGTGACCTAGGGCAAGCTGATGGCATAAGATGTAAGTACAACTCCTCCGGTTTCATATGCAAAAAAAGTTATTGCGCTAGCTTACGTGGTTCCAGTTCTACAGCGATTTAGAAATAGTTATGCAAAATGGAGCGCGCCCACTCCAACGGGTTTTAAAGGGTTAAAGGAAAAGAACTCACAAGGCACAGAGAGGTCCTCACCCCTCTGATTAAAAACACAGAACGGCTGGAATCTGTCCCCAACCTCAGGTTTCTGGGCACCCACATCTCTACTGATCTCACCTGGACCCAATACACCAATACCCTGGTAAAGAAGGCCTAACAGTAGGAGAGCATGCTCTCCATTGAGGGCTACAATTGAGAACAGGAAGGTTGCACAGAGTGATTAACACTGTCAAAAAAGAATCATTGGCTGCCTTCTGGCACACCAGGATGCCAATAACAACAACCTTTATTTGTCACATACAGAGTACAGAGTACAACATGTAGTGAAATGTTTGTGTCCGAGGTGCGGACAAGCTGCAGACGTAGCTGCGCCATTTTACAGCTTGGTTTTTGTTTTGTTTTTTTAGCATGTGGGGTCTAGCCAGGACCATTACTGGGAATAAAACTAGCGACTCCCGTTCCAAAGGCAATAACCCCCTACCCACACCTCACCAATCTGAGCCACATTCTTGATTTTTAGTTCACAAAGACTTCTCATAACCACTCCTGAAACTTTGAAGGTTTTAGCTTTTTATACAGTGAAGTTACAGGAGGATAAAAAAAAAAATCAGGTAAAATGTCCTTCGCTTGTTAAAATAATCCCGTCCGATACCACGTGAGAATAATAAATATAACATTTTCTGTTGTAACCCTCAAACTGAATGGTAATGCTGTGGAGGTATGTAATAACAACAGGGGAGGTCTCAGTGTCTCACTCCAACTTTATTAACTGACTCTCAGAACTTCACATATAGTAAGCGCCAAAATCTCCACCTCAGCACTTCCCTTCAACTTGGGTGTGAGTGGAGCCACCTGGTGGTCCGCTACACATACCCCGCCCTGAACACACAGTCAGGTCTCTATTCAGTCCAGGACCCTGGGCCTAAGCAAACCCGAACGACTGAACCTGGGAGGGAGAGAACAGGCAGAGGAAGGTCCATCCCATGAACGAGGCTGGTGAAGACGAGCAGGAAAGGCAGGAGGAGGCTCAAACGCCGGTGGTCCGGGGGTAGTTCTGGGGGGAAAATCAGAGTCTGTCAACCCCATCGAAGGAGGGCAGCCACGGCGAGGGCCCTGGGCTGGCACTACATTACTGTCCGGAAGAACATGTGCAGGTTTAAGTCTGTCAACACACACAGTCTCCCTTCGACCCCCAAAATCCAAAACAAAATGTTTCTGGCCCGGTTCGATAACCCTGAATGGGCCGTCATACAGCGGCCGCAGCGGTGTCCTGTGGGCATCGTGCCTGACAAAAACAAACTTAGCAGTCTCTAAAGTCTTTGGAACAAAAGTGTCAGGCACGCAATGGTGCACCGGACCAGGAACCCGAAGCGAGTACAAAAGCGGGTTGAGAGATAGCACCGATGGATCGAAGCAGGGAGGAGGATTTTCAGGCAAGAATTCTCCAGGCACGCGGAGGGGCTGACCAAACACTAGCTCAGCTGGGGAAGCGCCGAGATCCTCCTTAACCGCATTTTGCACAGAGAGACAATGTATTTATAGGAATGTGTGGTGTAGAATAAACCGCAGTGGGCGTGTGTGTGGTTGGAGGGTGTATTTGCAGTGTTGCCAACAAGTAAGGAAAATCGCTTTTGGCTGTCCTAAAAGTCGCTAGAAGTTGCTAAATGACATCGTCACAAGACTCCAGTGACACCAGAAAAAGTTGCCAGATTTGTCGCTAGTCGCTTTTTTAGGGGGAAAAAGTCACTAAGGGGATTTGAAAAGTAGCTAAATTTAGCGACCAAGTCACTAAGTTGTAGTGATGGGATTTCCGTCTCTTTTTAGAGAACTGGCTCTTTCGGCTTGACTCACTAAAAAGAGCTGGCTCTTTCGGCTCGCAACCGGATCTTCAGGTTGTTTTGTTGCTTTAATTAATTATTAACAGCAATATAAAATTATGCACAAAAGGAATTACTAATGTAAAAACAAAACTGTGGTTTTATTTATATATGCTTGTATATAAATTTATATGGTGGCTCCTAGAGACAAATCACATACAAACTCCAAAAAGCACGTACAAACTCCAAAACACGTACAAACTCCAAAAAGCACGTACAAACTCCAAGACACGTACAAACTCCAAAACACATTTCTAGCGTTAACTGAACTTCCAAAACAGAGCTACCTAGATCACTTAAATTACACAATTGAAAGCATATGTGTATTGTTTGTGTATTTATACACAAGCACTCATATATATTCAAATAATTTTAAAAAATGTTCATTTACCTGTTACTACCACACACCAAATCCAGTCATTGGTACTTTCTGACTTGCCACTAGGTAACAAAAGCTCAACACTGCCCCTAGCATCCTGGAGCACTTCTATTGTGCTTTGTACGTGTTTTGGAGTTTGTATGTGTTTTGGAGTTTGTACGTATTTTGGAGTTTGTATGTGCTTTGTCTCTACGAGCCACCGTAAATATACTTTTATTTATTCAATCCACATAAAATGTAATAAATAAATCATATAATACAAAAAAAACTACATTTCAACTTTTAACCATTTAAATTTTCAGCTTTTCCTATTAAACAAATTTAAAGTGGAACAAGACAAAACACTGAAAAAAACCACAACACAATTAAATATAAATATGAAAAAATATGAAAACAAAAAGAAAATGCACATTCTCCGTCATATGGACCTACATGAATAAACTTTCTGAATCCTTTATCGTCCACAACTGAAAATAGTTGTGGATAATCACTATACCTTTCTAATGTGACGTTGTTGTCCCTGGCTCTCTTTCTCTCTCTCCCCCTCCCGCTCTGTTCCTGTGCTACTGCGAGTGTAACTACCGCCCCCCTCTTCCCAGCGCAAAGCACAAGGCTTGCGTGTGGAGTGAAGCGGAAAAAAAGTGCGAGAGAGAGGGTGAGAGAAAGAAAAGAAAAAACCACGGCTCCCAATGAGGAGCCAGCTTGCGTCATTCACTTCAAATATTCTCTAAGAGCCGTTTCGTTCGCCACCGACACATCACTACTAAGTTGGCAACACTGTGATGATCTTCTAAAACAAAGGGGGGCCTAGCAAAAAATTTTGGGATTTACTATACATGTGTTGGGAAAGTCAGCATCACAGTATACTTTGTTTAATTTCAAACAGGAGAAAGAGGTAAACAGCACATTATCATTCTTACTCTTTGGTCTTTGTAAATTTTGATTAAACAACAATAGCACACATCCCGTACATGCTATTGCTATTTATAGTGGTTTAACCTGTCAAGGACAAAAACAAAAGAATTCTGCATCAAAGCTTGAAATCATAGATTTCCTGGATTGGTGGCATGATAGTTAGTGCTGTTGCTTCACAGTAAGAAGGTCCTGGGTTCAAATCCACAATCTGGCTAGTTTGCAGTTGTTTCTCTTTGGGTATTCTGGTTTCCTCTCACAGTTAGAAGTCATGCAGTTATTAGAGTTAGGTTAATTGGTGATTCTAAATTACCCGTGAATGTAAATGCAAATGGTTGTTTGTCTCTATGTGATAGACAGATGAGCAGTCCAGGGTGTACCCTGTCTTGTAACCTATCACTTCAGGGTTATTTTCCAGCCCCCCTGCAACCAGGATAAAGATAGGAGGATCGTAGTTGTTGTAGAGCCATTCACTTTTTATGGTAACCAGACTCTAGACATTATGTAATATGAAGACAACATGTAGTATTTAAGTGACCAAGTTGTATTGGGGTAAAAGGTTTTGAATAGCGTTGAAATAAAATGACAAAATTGTGAAGGATTCAAATATTCTAAGAACTCAACTTACTTCATCTAAACATGTTTCAATCGCATTTTATGAACACAAAATGCACAGGTTTATTGAATATGAAAAAGTTGTGTTGATTTAACTCAGTTGTTTAAGTTTCTGCGAAAGCAAAACAATTGCGTGCAACCAATGTCCACTATTGAATTAAGTAAATCCAACATGGCCTTTTTTGTTAGTGTAGATCCAAAATAATGCAATCAAAGATGTAATGGACAAAAATAAAATTACAATTCTCTGGGGGGGGGGGTTTAGCATAGTTGGCAGTTATGGCATATGTACTTATTGCACAGCAGTCCTTATTGCTTCACTGGTATTTCTTTGACTTTTGGAATGTTATCCTACCTCATCACAAATCATCAAGCTCAAAGCCAAAGCCATGAAGCCAGTAGATGGATAAGCACCCTTCTTTAGTAACCAAACTTGATGAATGTGTTTCATGAAAGCCGGATTGAGGATCATCACCTGGTAATTAAACATGGTCATTTATTCTGCGAATAATGCACAATATAATCTTTTAACTAAATTATATTTGATATATGAATATACAGTTTGTCATTTTTGTTAAAATATAGAATAATGTACTCACCAAATTCTTGTTGGCTAGGCTCTGTTTGTTTAAATCACCATTTTCTCTGTTGGAAATATGCTTTTACGTTAATGGCATATATGCTAGAAAAGGAATTAATTAGCAATTATGTGATTAGAATCATTTAACGCTAGATTCCGATTGAAATGATAAATGCACACAATAATGAATTTGTTAAGCTTTTCACAACCCTAAATATTCAAGTGTACTAAATATATATTCTAAATACAAAAACATAAAAAGGTAACAGCAATGTTTGAACTACCCAACGTTCTCAAGGAGCCACAAAAAATCCTCCATCTTGAATGGAAAAAACACAAGGTGAGTGGTGTGGTCCAATAAGCTAGCAGTCTCTGGATACATGACACGATGAGTTGTTTTGGTACCAACATCCACTTCAAAGCCTCTGGTCGGCCCATAGTTCATTCTAAATTATACATATTTAACATCATGCAGTTAAATCATATTTTGTGAATAGAGTCAATACAACAACATTAGGGGTGCAACGATACTCGTATCGATATTGAACCGTTCGATACAGTTCTTTCGGTTTGGTACGCATATGTATCGAACAATACAAAATTTTTAATTTATTTTATCAACTTTTATTCTGACGATGCAGTCTGTGTTGAGAGCTCAGGGGATGAGATGAAATGAGATAGCCTTTATTTGTCAGTTGCAGGCCTTTTGCCTACAACCAAGATGACAGACCTTGCCGACCGTACATACAATACAAACATCACATTGGGGAGACAGGTCAGGCCAGGTAGCGAGGAAAAAAACATCGAAATGTGTAACACAAAAGGATAATGCAGGAATGCACAGGTATCAACACACCATAACACAATAAACACAGACAAGCAACATGGTAAAGTGTTCCAGTGTGTACATCTGATCTGGGACTGCTGCAATCTTCGACTGCGCCTCCAGCTGACCCGATGTCCACATCATGGGGGAGGTAAGAGTTGGAGGTGGCGTTGGATAGGGAGAGTAATGCGTCAGTGAGTGCTTACCAGTATCAGTATATGTATGTGTGTGTGTGTCCATAGTTCAGCTGAGACAGTGTCCTTCGCCCCGCCAGGCTAAGTAAACAGTCTTCCAGCCAACCCAGGTGGCCTTGTAGGGAATGGGAAGGAAAAGACTCAACACAGTCGTTATCAGGGAGTTTTTGTTCAGCTCCAGCCTTGAGCCCACAGCTGGCGCCGAAGGGGTAGCCGCATTATGATGGTGATTTTTCTTTTGCAAACAACTCATGAGAATTTCAAGCTGTTTTTAACACTCCGACACTGGTCTCTCAATCTCCCGTTAACTCATTCACTGCCAGCCATTGGCAGTGAATGAGTTAAACCCATTGACCCATTCACTGCAATTGACGGCTATAGACGTCAATGGCAGTGAATGAGTTAATAGCTGCGAGTTTCTCCATGATGTTATTAGCCATCGATTCTGTTCGCTCTTTTGCTCACATAGCAGATTCTGAGACCTCACGACCGCAGCCAACTGATCCGAGATGTAATCCAGTTTCCGCCCAGAGATGTTGTTCTGAGTTGATTCTTTCCTGATGTAATCCAACATACATACGCTCAGAGGTGTTATTCTGAGCATTCACTGCAGTCGTAAGCGCCTCCAAGCTCTTAACCATGCTGCCTTCAGTGAGTCCTTTCTGAGAAGTTGCACCTGTCGTTCCAATCCCAGCGGGCAGCCTTGTGGGGGTTTGAACAGCCGGTTCCGCTCTCTTAATTCTCCGATAAGCCAGGGCCAAGCCAGCTCCGATCAGCAAGAACCCTGTTATCATGGTTCCGAACAGGTAGATATCTTCAGCGTCCTCGATCGACAGTCCCGCCAGGCACACAATCCTCTGCCACCCGTCCATCGTGTATCCGGCAGGGAAAGTCCCTCCCGGGAACTCAGGTTCTCCCGAGCCCAGACTTCTCGTTAAAGGGTGTCAATAGCATTCAGACACCAGTTGATCAAATCCATAATTATCTTTTAGGTTTTAGACACAGACTGTGAGAGAGTGTTCCAGGGAAAGTAATGCAAAAAGACACGAGACTAGACAAGGACATAAGAACTAGCAGGGAAGATAGGGGAGAGGAGAAAAAGTGCGTCCGCCTCCTCCGAGAGCCAAAGAAGTGGATCTGCGTTTGACTACTCCGCCTAGGCTGCACTGTCGAGCGCAGATCCACTTAGCGCAGCGCAAGCTAGCAAGACAGAAGCTAAGCTCATTGCAACATGGCAAATTAAACCTCCCCCACCCTCATTCAGATCTGGCCTTTGGAACTATTTTGGTCTTCATGTGAAGTATGACCCTGAAGGTAAGCGCGTCATGGACAAAAGTAAAACGGTATGTCGGATGTGCCACGCAATGCTCAATTACATGGGTGGGAACCATGCTCGTTAACGTGTTGACGCCGTCCAGCCCCACGCACGGGGCGATCCGCGGTAGCTCGTTAACGGAGATTTGCCTTGTTGTGGCGTTAACGTGATTTCAGATTAACGCTGACAGCACTAGTGGGAACACAATGAATATGACTGCACATTTACGCCAACATCATCCTAGTGCAAAGACAAGTGGAATCAGACAAAAACAACAAGCACGCATGCTACAAACTTTACCCGAGTCATTTAGACAGCCGTTAGCACATGATTCTCCTTATGAGCACATGATTCTCCTTATGCTGCTGATAATATACCCCAGAAGAAGCGTATAGTATAGCTTTTATTTTGGAAAGAGCCATTTCTCTGTAATAAACTCTCTTTTCCAAAGATGAGTGATTTCTCGATCAGATAGATTTATTTTTTTATTACTTTGTTGTTTCAGCAACATTAAATTTAAAAACTGTACTTTTGAGTTAAAATATATATTTATAATTTTAATAAATGACAAATTAAAAAAGCATGAACATTTTTTTGTATCGAAAAAATATCGAACCGTGTCACCAAAGTATCGAACCGAACCGTGAATTTTGTGTATCGTTGCACCCCTAAACAACATAATAGTCGACTCTAAGTAAAAGTGAATGTTTGATTGTATTCTATTTTACCTTATTACGAAATCATGCAAATCAATCAGAGGTCCATAACGTGATCCATTCAAATTACCAGAATTCCCCACTACAGCACAAATCCTGCAGCGATCAGGCCTGGGTTCTACATCTTCTGAAATGATCGGTAGCATCTCAAACACCTTGTCTACTGTTGCATTGAAGAAAGCGAAGTCGTATTTTTCCTGCTTTATTTTCTGACAGACATAAGAGAGGAAAGTTAATAAAGTTAATGGAACTGGTAACCAGCAAGTTTTACACTTTTTTTGTCAACATTGAATACATACATACATATATACAGCGGGGAAAATAAGTATTTGACACATCAGCATTTTTATCAGTAAGGGGATTTCCAAGTGGACTATTGACACAACATTTCCACCAGATGTTGCCATCAAGCCAAATATTGAAGTCATACAATCAAATCAGAACATATAAGTATACAAGTTAAACCATAATAAATAAAGTGAAATGACACAGGGAATAAGTATTGAACACACTTTATTCAATACTTTGTAGAAAAGCCTTTGTTGGTGATTACAGCTTCTAGACGCCTCTTGTATGGATAGACCAGTCGTCTGCATTGCTCAGGAGTGATTCTGGCCCATTCTTCCACACAAACGGTCTTTAAATCTTGAAGGTTCCTTGGGCCTCTTTTATGAACTTTAATCTTCAGTTCTCTCCATAGATTTTCTATGGGATTTAGGTCAGGTGATTGACTGGGCCATTCAAGCAACTTGATTTTCTTTCTTTGAAACCACTTCATTGTTTCCTTGGCCTTGTGTTTGGGATCATTGTCTTGCTGAAATGTCCACCCTCTTTTCATTTTTAGCTTCCTGGTAGATGGCAGCAGATTTTTATCCAGAATGTCCCGGTACATCTCTCCATTCATCCTGCCTTCAATAATATGAAGTCTGCCAGTACCCCTTGCTGAAAAGCAGCCCCAAACCATGATGCTTCCACCCCCAAACTTGACTGTTGGTATGGTGTTCTTGGGGTGGTGAGCAGTGCCATTTCTTCTCCAAACATGGTGTGTAGAATGACTGCCAAAAAGTTCAATTTTGCTTTCATCTGACCATACTATAGTCGTCCAATAATCCACAGGCTTCTCCAAATGCTGTTGCGCAAATTTTAACCGAGCCTTGACATGCTTTTTGTTCAGCAATGGAGTCTTGCGTGGTGAGCGTGCATGGATGCCATGGCGGTTCAGTGCATTGCTTATAGTTTTCTTTGAAACAACAGTACCTGCTGATGCAAGGTCTTCCTGAAGTTCTGTCCGAGTGGTTCTTGGCTCTTGGAGAACCCTCCTGATTATTCTTTGGACTCCTCGGACAGGGATCTTGCGTGGAGCACCTGATCGTGGCAGGTTTATGGTGAACTGATGCACTTTCCATTTCCGGATAATGGCCCCCACAGTGCTCACAGGAACATTCAGCATTCTGGAAATGCACCTATAACCATTCCCATCAAAATGCTTTTCAACGATAAGATTACGAAGATCTTGAGAGAGTTCTTTGCTTTTACCCATCATGAAGTCTTTCCTGTGTGCCTTCTGGGTAATGAGGAGCCTTTATAGGCCATCAATTAGGACTAAAGCAGCTGATATCAATTGGTACTGATAGGGGACAGGATTTCTCTATCAATACTGACAGATTTCAGGTGATCTCCTGGCTTTCTATGTCATTTTGCCCCTTGTTATCTCCATGTATTCAATACTTATTCCCTGTGTCATTTCACTTTATTTATTGTGGTTTAACTTGTATACTTATATGTTCTGATTTGTTTGTATGACGTCAATATTTGGCTTGATGGCAACATCTGGTGGAAATGTTGTGTCAATGGTCCACTTGGAAATCCCCTTACTGATAAAAATGCTGATGTGTCAAATACTTATTTTCCCCGCTGTATGTATGTATATATATGGCATATATGTATGTATATGATATATATATATATATATATAGATGGATATCTCACACGTTCCAAGTATATGTTTCAGTGGCTCCAACAGTTGGAAAAATATAATGAAATGCAAAGTTAATCAACATTTGTTTTGTTTAGTGATCATTTAATTTACCTTCCACCAGAGGAAATCATTCTCTGAGATGCTGTGTTTTCTTGGCAAAAAGGGTTCAGGAGATGCATCAATCTGTTCCCTAAACCAAGGATCACCATCTCTTATACATTTGAGACAGGAACAAAAGCTCGACTTCCAGGGCCCAAAGGAGTAAACAGATAAATTCCATGAAGGACTGAAAAACATAGGCATCACTGCGATGCACAGGAGTAGGGAAATAAAAACCCCGGATTTTTTCTGTCTGTAATTCATCTTTAATGAAGAACAATCTGTGGATTTAGTGAGTGGAGAAACATTCAGGTGAGTAAATCTAAGAATGTAGACAATGTTACAAAGAAGCCTACAACAAAACACTATCCACCGTTTCAAAAGCAACCTTGGTGACATAATCTGGGGACGGCATTGCATAATCAGTGCTATATGTGAGGGGTTTATATGTGTTAACTCATTTAAAAGACATTGCCTTTCTACTTAAATAGCATAACATGACACCCAGTAGAAAGGAAAACATCTTGGACAATGTTTATTTAATATAACATAGAAAGACGCTTTTGTCACGGCTGGGGCGGCAGTCGTGTGGAGGGTGAGAAAGGAGGATCCAATAGCAGACAATGGCGGAGTGCAAGTGGGTTTTATTTACAGTGCACAAAACCAAGGTGTGGGCAGAACCGAACATAAACCTAAACTGGGAAAACTAATGCAAAATGGAGGACATGAAGCGAGGAGCAGAGAGACACGAAGGAACATGGAATAATGCAGACTACGCGGGAAGTTCACAGAGAAACACAGATGACGCGACGAGAAGCACAGTCAGACACCAACTATAAATACACACACCAGGTAATCAGGAAATGGTACACAGGAGGGGACACAGCTGGAACTAATGGGCATAACGAGACAGACCTATAAAGTAAAACAGGAAACACCCAGACTGTTTTACAACACAAAACTCGGGGACCCGTACAGAGCACAGAGGGAGACACAGGTAGGGAAAATAAACACGACAACCAAACCCCAACAACCAATACAAATCAGAATAACTAGAAAATAATAATCACAAACTCAAGGCGCTGGGTCACCGACCCAGGACCATGACAGCTTTGAAAATATTTGATAATTAGATTGGTTCTTATAGTGTTCTCTTCTGATCTATCAAACCACCAACATTCCACTTAGCAGATGACCTGCTCTACCTCCTAAAAACTAAATGATCCTATTAACCTGCTAAAGAATCAAACAGAAAGACACAATTCAGTCACACTATAATGCTAACATGTTTTTTAAATTTATATATTTAACAACATCTGAATAAGTTTTTTTAAGAGGTTCTATAAAGCTTGTCATGAGTAATTAATAGTGTTAAATGTAATATATTTTCTCTTACCTTCAAAAGTAAAGGAGGTAGAAAGCAGGCAGAGAGCCTGTGAAAGATTTGAATTGGTGAGCTACTATTCAAATAGTGGGGTTTATTTTTGGTTCTAGGAAAGCTGAATTGTTTGGGTTGTTCTCAGAATTGAGAAAAGAGGAAAAACCTGTCTGTTAACTGTGCAACAGCCAGTGTAGTATTACCTGGGAGGGTTTATTTATGATCTGTTTAACCCATGAAAACCATACATGGAAGGAAACCATGTATCCATGTCAGATTATTTTTGATATGAGCTTATGAATGTAGTACCATAAATAATGAGAAGAAGAAGAAGCAGAATATCACATGATTTTATTTGTATTCATTATTATTATTATATTTCTTAATATTATATATAATTTAATGCTAGATGGGAAAATGAGTTTCATTCAGTTTCATTTTTGAAAATGATGAATGACTGTTATTATAATTATATTTATTATTTTATTATTGTTTGCAGTAGTTCACCTGTGCTGAAGCTGATGTGATCTACTCCTTTACCAATTCTAATTGGAGTCATTCATACCAGTCATCTCTTGTATAAAAATTGATGCTTTTTGAAATGTTTTAGAATGCCATTCAACCTCTATACACAAACCAGAGGGGAGGATTTGTTTGTTTTTTAATTTTTCATAGTACAAGATGATACTATATTATTAAGAAGGTACCAAAGATGGTATGCTACATTAATGGAGAGAAAACCTCCAGATTCAGACAGCCTCATATGAGCAAGCACTTGGTAACAGTGGGAAGGAAAAAATCTTATAAGAAACCCTCTGCATTGAACTAGACACATTACAAACTGAGGAAGATTAGGAATAATAATTTTTAAATGCAACGTGGTGCAGAAACACCACAGAAATCTTGATAACCTCAAAATTCTTGTGACCATGCAAAGTTTTTCACTCAAAAACTACTCTACCTACTGTATTCTACCTGTATGTGTGGATGTGGAGCAAAGCTTAGAGACGAGCAGGAACACCTTTCTTGTTTAGGGTCAAATTGGTTTGATGTTTGGAGGCGGGCAGTGACGAAATTATAACTTGACCCAAATGCATGAAAGAAAAATGATTTTTTTAAGGATTTTGCTTGGCTAAAAGTTCCATACGGTGTGATTCCTTTGTCATGTCCTTAATAGCACGTAATATCCTTTTTTGCATTTTCCTGTGGAAAAACAACAATCTCATGCTTACGAATCTCATGAAAATAACACAGAATAGACATGAATAAATACAGTCACAATGGTCAAATGTGACTACCTGCTCCTTCACACACACACAGGTGTACAAACAGGTACTCACAGACACACACTATCTTGGTTGGCTGCTGCCTTTAAGCATCTCATGTGTTGTTGGCTTTGTGTGCCACTCAATAAGATTCAATATTTATTATTTACTGCTACCTATGCTTATGTTGGTTGTTGCTGTAGTTTCCCTTCTGTGCTGTTTTCCTGTTTTGCAAAGCAAATAGAGAAGCAGATTTTCAGTGTCTTTTCTCTCTATCCCTCTTTTCCTCTATTTTTCTTTCCCTCTCCTTCTGTTAACTCTCTTCCCAACTTCTCTTTAGTCATATTGTTTCTCTTTTCTGTCCTCGAGTTCTGTCCTTTCTGATTGTAATAACTTCAAATAAAAATAAATTATAAAGAGCAAATAAACTATGACAATCAAGTGGACCAATATAGCAAAAGGTCCACTTGAAAATAATATAAAACTAAAGTAAAACAAAATAAATGAAGACAAAATAAACAGCTGTAGAAAAAAGCAAATAAAACATTAATGCCTTGACAAACTGCTAAAATACACCACATGCAAATACAAACCAGTTCTACACAAGTCTGCACAAGTTCCAGTAAAGACAAGCTTATGCTTGCCACAGTAAAGTAACAGTGCAAATCCTATTCAAAGCAAAACAAGCAAGCAGAGCATGGCTATTAAAGGTTTCACTGTGAAGCAAGATTCATAAAAAAAGTTCTGTGTCACAGAGGTGGCTGCCTTTTTTACAAGGGAGAAGCATTAGGGTAGCCACAACAAGCTTTTATATGGTCTGTAGTTGATCATGGTACTGCATGTAAGTTAAAAGACTTCATCCGTGATGAAGTCATGAAGCAATAATTTTTGATTACTCAGTAGATACTTATTAACGATCCATTTAATTCTCACAGCTGCCTGTGTGGCAGGCAGGAGTCTGACCCAAATGCAGGACTCATAAACAAAGGTTAAACTATAAAACAAAATTACTGCAGAATTTAAGGAAGGTATAAAAACAAAGAAACAAAATCAACAAACCTTCAAAGAGGGAAAATGTGAAGGAGGACATGACAAAAGGCAGAGGGAAACTGAAAACTTAAATATAAATAATGGATAATGAGAGGATATAAAACTTGAACCAAAGTACAAGAGAAAAAAACCCAGAAAAAGTCAAATAGGAAAAGAAACTCAAACTTGACCCTGTAGACTGTGACAGTAATAATGTTTTGCTTTTTTATTTTTTTGAATTTCAGAAAGTTGAAGATGTCCATTGTTAAATCCTCCCAATTGATTGAATCTTTGGACTGAAGGAAGGACAATACTCGGTGTATAAATGCTCAATCAACAGTCTTTTATTCCATACAATTCAACACTTTATGAGCATAAACCATCCGGATGAGGAGACATGCATGAAGAGGGTCACAGCTAAATCTCTAAATGTGGTGGGTGACTCAAACTCTTATAGCCTGTGATGGCCCCCACCTAGTCATAAAAAGCTAAACATACATACTTTCTAACTCTCAGTGAGCCTGAGTTATTGCCTTGGCTCCCTGTTTTTCTGCTTCCAACAAAGGTGGGGGTGAAGCTCCTGTGGAATGTGCTCTGTGCTCTCTGCACACAATATTCTCTCCTTAACTTGGCAGTATGAAATGTTTGTTCAGAGTTCGTCATGCAAAGTTAAAGGCATGTGCCTATTTCCACATCACGCTGTGCACCACGTTTACAGGAGATGAATTGCAGAATGGCAGATAGTCAGATTAACGGTATTTTGTCTCTATCTTCAGGTTTTACATGCTTACATTTACACACGCAGTTACTGTCCCTCTATTTAGAAAGGCAGAGGCGTCACGGTGTGATTATTTTACATGTTGTTGTTTTCTGTCCTGTGTAATAACATTCAACATTGCTATCAATACATTTTTCAAATAATGCCTCTCTGTGCAAAATGGGTTTAAAAACATGAACAGCTGTGGGATACTGTTTGTCTGTGATTTGAACCAAGGGAACAAATCCTGGCAGGATCAGCCTGATATTATTCATATCCCACTGTAACTTTACTGTATAAAGAGCTAACATCTCCAAAATGTCAGGAGTAGTTAGTCATAGAACTAAAAATCAAGAATGTAGGATACTGTTTGTCCGTGATTTGAAGAGCCCAGCGCCTGCTCTCGACGCAGGGAAAACCAATTCTGCAGGGGAGACCTACCTTTGCACTTGTGCAATTGAAGCCAAAGGGAAGATATGCTTCAGAAGTGCGGGCCCCACACTTTGGGAAGGTCTGCTCTATAACAAGAAGTATGGTGTGGCTTACAGCAGTATCATGATTCACTCATTCACATTATAGGCATAGGATAACATATGATAGCATAATAATCTCACACCATGAAGAGTCCAGAAAGCTGCATAAGGCTGTCAGTATATTTCATATCTCCAGGGCTTTCTGGAAATGTTCCCACATGTCACTGGTGTGTAATGATGCAAAATAGTAACCACAATTAAAGTTAATCACATCTACAACAGAACTGCTGCAGATAGATATTAGCAATAATGGCATGGTATAAAGGTTTCCAACAAAAAGAAATTTTAAAACGTACAATTTTGTCAATATTTGTACCTTTTTGTATATTAACAACAAAGGTAATTATAACATTTCACTATAAACACAACATGAGTAACAAACAATAACTAAATCAACATTGCAAGGCAGGACATGTGATCACTGCACTTTCCTGTGTTTTTGTTATTCATGTTGTGGGTTCAAGGTGATTCTTTTTAATCATGTTTTTGTGTGCTATATCCACACCTGTAATCACACCTCTCGACATGCCTCTACTTTTTTTCCCTTAAACCTCCACCCAAGTTCTTAGAACTCTCATCGTACTACGGCCTTCTAGTAGGAGGAACGTTTTTAGAAAGTCCCAGAACAGTATGTCAAGTCTTATTGTGGGTGTGTGAACATGTTGTTGCAATGAGCATAAATTGGAAATAAATCCAGGCTAAGAGTGCCAGTTTAGTTCATGGTGTGAATAGGCAATAAGGCAGAAATGCAGTGTCCCTGGTCCCAGTCCCACTCTGCACCTTGTCCCTAACCCAAGGTAATCCAATTCCTTCTGAGTTATAACATTGACAAGATTCTCAGAAAAACAATAACTGTGATCTTGACCTTGAGGTGAAGCTGAATATTTTTGCTTTGAGATCAACGTCGGCGTAATTTGAACTTGTCTGCCAGAACCACGACAAAGACTCCGGTAAGGAAGGGGGGGATTATCTGGACCAAAAGCTGGCCTTCTACTGCTCCTCAAATTGATTACACAGAACATCCTCTGAATTGTGTCTAAACTGATCATATCTCTGCTTTGTTTGATATCCAAGAAAGATTTTGTCAATGAAATGTCTCACGGTGACATCAGCATGACGCATGAGGATGAGACAAAAGTTTCCAGTTCAAGAAGTTTCTGCACCACACCTGACAACATGTCTTTGTGTCATTATGTTCTTAACTTTCCTCCTGTTCCAGTAAAGCAGAAATGCTGACTTGAGACTTGCAAATGCGGAGGTGTCAGATGTGGTATTGTGACTTTAGATAGCTCACGGAAAGACACATGACGCAGACAGAGCAGACATGGAATAAAACGTAAAGAGAGGAACGACACAGGAGACAGTGATGAGACAGAGACAAGAAAACACCAACTAGAAATAAACTTAAAGGCAAAAAGAACTAAACTCAAGACTAAACAGTAAAACCTGAACTTCCCATATGGAAAAGATATATATAAATCTTATAAAGTTTGTATCTGTCTTGT